CAAAGCAGACTTATCACAAAGGCCAAGTCTGGAAGCCTGACAATCTGATTGTACTGTCATCCAGATTCATAATTAATATATTTATCAAATTAATCGCTGAAAAGAGCCCTGGCCTCTTGAACAGTAGGCAGATTCATTTGCCACTGGCTCGGCTTACCGCTAATAACAGTGTTGTCAGGGAAATAGGCCCGAAATGGGTCAATGCCCCTGCTCTCATGACAGACAAATTGCTCATCTGTGTAGAGATGATATGGGGATTTCAGAAAGAAAGAAAGAAAAAATGTCATTGTTTGGTGACAACCACAATTGCACCCTTGTTTCAGATTGTGAGTACCAAGTTGGAGGAACATGAAAGGGGCATTTACTGTTGGGGGAGAGCTGAAAATACCTGTTGTTGTACCTCTGGTTTTACAAATCACTCATCAAAGGGGCTGTCTCTGCCATATGTTGTTCAAGTGAAGAAGAATGTTTACAGTGTTTCCTCGCCTAAATGAAAACGAACCTGGATTATATAACCCTGACTTCTAATAGCTTATATTTGACCACATTTAACCGCACCAAAAATGCAAAATCTACTTTGAAGAAAACTGTTTTTTTTTATGTTGATCCATACAGACTAAGATTCAGATTCCCACAGTATTTAACGTGCAGGAGTTCTCAATATTACAGTTTAAAAGGGCCCTTAACAGAGTGTAGAATTAGAAAAAAGTTATCTGCTGTTCCATGGACAATGGCTTTAATATTCAACACATTTAAAGAATGTTGATTTCTGTATCAAATCTCTCTTCAAGCTTACATGAAATAGAAAAATACAATATACAAACAAGAACTGTCTTTATCCGTATATAAAAAGAACCAAAATGATCTCACTTCCTGTGTTGTTATAATTCTTGTTGGAAACATGGTTGACCTTTTCTTTATAAAAGACATTGTGTCACCCTTGGTTTTGTAGGCGCTAATTACAAAGTGGACACATATGGCTCAATTTAGCACGCTAATGAGAATCTTAGGAAGCTGCTGGGTGAGAGTGAAGGGCCTCTTTTGTCTCCTGGATTCCCATCTGGGTCCCTAAGAAGAATGAAACCATGATCATTGATCATCAGCCCAGGTGATGGGGTTTGTGGGTTTTTTTTGGAAGTTTTTCCTTGCACGATGTGAGGCTCCAAGGACAGAGGGTGTCGTATTGTCATATTGATATTCTGTACAAACTGTGAAGTCCACTGAGACAAATGTAACATTTGTGATATTGGGCTATATAAATAAACATTGATCGATCATTGATTGAGGTGATCACTAACTTATTGCTGCAGTTGTAATAAAATGGTAAATGTATCACTTGTATTACATACACCCAAAACAGAGACACACTTCTATTTCTTCTTTGCTTACTTCCTGTAGAGCCTAAATGACATATCTATCAAATTTAATTCAGCGTCTTTTTAGGTACTTTTTTTCACTTAGCTTATTAACTTAACAGTATACTGAAATGTTTGTTGATTTTGGTTTCATTCTTAACTCAAACACTACATTCTTGAGCTCTGCTTCCGGTAGTTAGATGCTTTTTATTGTCTTGTTTCATAGCCGCCTGTAGATGGCAACTCTAGGCTTCTTTAAGAGCATTCCACTGTGGAATTATTGTTGTTTGAAAAACAACATTTGTTTGACATTAATAAAATTATAAATCCTGAAATAAGTTAGTAACGCTTATTTTTAAGTTGCAATGGTGTTGCCCACAATACAAGCTGCATTCAGTAAACATGCACACATTTCCAGGTTGAATGCAGTGGAGGACTAGGCTGTAAAATATGTTATTTGAAACAGTTTGCTGATGAAAGATGCTGAGGATCATTGTTCATGTGAGCTAGTTTCCCTCTCTGTTTATACCCTGAAGTAACAAATTCTCCTACAATGAATTCTCAGTTAATCTTCTCTTCTTTTTGTAATAATGTTGTTTTAACATGTTGTCCTCCTCAGCACTTATACAGTTGGTGTTTATGCTGTCTGTCAGCTGCTGGTGGAGGAGTTTTCCACAGAGAGCAGGGCAGGTTCAGCTCAGCGGCTGAATGGACGGACTCTTCACTGCCAACGACTCACCCGGCAGGTAGCAGAGGCTTTCAGCGGGGCCAGCCTGCAGCAATCAACTTAGTTAGAGGGCTCTCTCTGTAATTGCCAACTATTACAATATGTGGCATGAGGGGTTCAACACTATTTTCAAACATGATGAAATGGCATCAAGGCCTCCTCTCACATCCAGTGATAATTGAACAATTAAACTTTAGCATACAAATGACCTCTTCATATGGCATAACTAATTACTGAGGCAGGCCAGTCACAAAGAAGGCTCTCCAAGGTCGATACCAATTTATGTTTTACAATTTCAAGCTTCCTTTTTGAGCCCAGGTTTAACTGGGTTTATTATATCAATAGGATTATTGGTTATTATGTTTGTTATAATTTTAGCATTTAGGTTTTTAGCAAAAACACCAATAGAGTTATTACAACTCATTTTCAGAGCCTTATTTTGAAAACCTCTTTTCAGCACCCATGGTTATCAGGTGAGATTGTCCTAATTATACAGGTGATTGAGACCCAGGAACATTTTCAGACCATTTACTACAGGTCATCCAGCTGCAACCCCTATTAAACAACTTGATTAGACATGCTTTAAATCACCTGGTTTGATTGGGGGCAGTTAAGCTCTTTATACTCTTCACTGTAAAATGCTAATTCTCTCTGAAAAAAAAGGGAATGGACAAGAATTCTCTGAGAGCATATGGAGAATCTCTCATATCAATAATTCAAAGGAAAAGAGCAAAAATTAGTGAGCAGAGCATCAGTGGTGTCATGTAACCATTACTTCTGCAAATGAGATATTTGAATTGAAAGATTGAAAATGGAAATATCATGAGGGTGAGAAATTATCTTTTTTTTAGAAACTGATCTGCTTATATGACAGATTGTGAAAAAACGTGAAATTCATACCACTATCATTCCCAAGATTATGCTTGTTTCCATAAGGTTACTAAGCCCTCTATACAATAGTAGATGAGCCCCCCAGGTATGAACCCTGATGACTAATTACGCTTCAGAGGGGACCTGAAAACCCCTCAGCAACTCTGCGCACACATAGCAGAGCTCTTCAGGTGCATTAGGTGAAAATGGCATTCATGCTGGTAGAACCAAGGCTTCAGAAAGCACTCCAGTGGACCTGAAGTGGGCCTGTTTTCAGCCCATGACAACAGACTGAAGACATTAACATGAGTCTTGCAGCAGTAGTATGTATAATGACTCCAAAATAAGCAGTTGCTAATCCATCTGCGAAATACTTCTTCATACATAGCCTCAATGCCTTAATATCATGTTTCTAGCCAGGGTAAAGTGTGTTCATGCACTCATGATGACAATGTTTGACACTCCTCCTCAGCGGACAGTCAGAGATGAGACAGATTATGAATTTGATATTAACTTCAAATGAAAAGGCCAAACTAGGAGCACAAGGCACATTTAATATCTAAACGTGGCTGCTCACACACACACACACACACGTCATTTGCAAGTTCCAATACAAGATGCGTTGATATGTGAAGGCACAAGATGAAAATGATTGGAAATGTATTTTGAGGCGCTGATTGTAGAAAATATTAAACTGCACAAAGAAGCTTTTGTTCTCGAATTCCTGCGGCAGTTCAGCCAGTATTGACTCTGCTTTAATTTAATATCTATTTATTTCACTCCATTGTAAGGATTTTATTGAGGTTGCGCCTGCTTTATCGCTCCGATCTCCCCCCAGAAGTGAAGGTCAGGAGAGGCAGACTACCTCTGTTTATTGGCTTCCATTGAGCCCATATGAGCTGATTTGGCTATCTGCTCTTGATATTAAGCTCTTTCATGGTATGTTGTGCTATCAGGATATTGTTTATCACCACATTGAGATATTCCGTGTGTATTTTCTTGTGAATTAAATATTCTTCATCACTTTTTTAATATCCTCTATGTATTTCAAACAGGATGTGAGGATCCTGCTTTATGTGGAAGCAAATACTAAGCTCAGAGGAAAAACACCATGCAGTTCATTTCACAAGTGTTCTTATATATGCTTAGAAATATAAAGTCTTATTAGTCAACTACTTTTCTCTATTGTATTAAGTCTGCCCTTTGTACTGTCAAGGCAGTGAATAATATTTGTATTCATTAATTTCACTATCATTTAACACAGCTTTATCATACAATTAATCATATAGATTAGAATAAATTGGAGTATGATTATGATATGTCATGTAATCCAACAATACCAAAACAGTGAAGCAACTATATTGCTCTATATTTTTTCCTTATTTCTCTGTTACGGCCAAACATTAACATTATGACTTATTTTCCTCTTACCTCAAATCCTAGTTGTGATCATATATGTAGCGTAGCTTGCACTGAACTACAACTCCTGCATTGTGTGACATAATGATAAAACCTCATAATGTTGTTTATTCAATTTCTCTTAAAGCTGTAGTAGTTTAGGTACTTTGGAGACTATAGGCTTTTCAATGTAAATAATAAGGAATCAAATCTTGACTCTCCATAAATCATGATAAAAAAGACACCAATAACAAAACAGGCAAACTGGCAAGAGGAACCTGTTTTGACATACAGCAGAACATAATTTCGTAATGTGCAGCCAACTATATATTTTCACCTATTTTTGGTGATTACGTAATCTTGATTGCATGTGATCCATTACTACCAAGCCAACCATGAGTATTCATCTGCAAATACTTCTTGTTTACATGCATATCACATGTAGCTTATTTGTGGATTATGTATCCACTGTGGTGTTGTTGTACTGTATTTCTTTCCATAACATCTTGTCAAATAGATTCTCAGTCCAAAGCATCAGCTGGACATCACATGGAAATAACAGGAATTGTTCCCTAAATGCATCCAAAAACACTGCTGGGACGAGTGACGTGTCCAGACGTCATGTCGTAACATGATGCTGCAGGTGGTGCACGTGGTATGTTGTTTACGTCTTCCAGGAACGCTGGAAGTGCAGCTGGAGAGAAAGGGGGGGCGGTGGAATTGTGAAACAGCTTTCCTTCATAGAGTTACATTGCTCATCATTGAGAAAAAGACCAGTAGAAGTACGTTAACGTCGTGTAAAATGTCGAGCTGAACTGCCTCATCTTTGCTCTTGAACGGCGCGAGACTTCCTCAGTATGTATTGTTTGTGTTTCAGAGCTCGTGCCAGGCATGTCTTTTGTTCTTTGTTCTCTCCACAGTGTCCTCAACTTCAAATTACAGCGTTCATATGTTGTCAACAAAGATGTAACAAGTAGCAATGTAGCAGTTAGCATGCTTTCAGGAGGCTGTTAAAGCATAACATAACAACAATGCTGATGGTGTTTATAGTTAAACTCCTTGTATGTTAATAGAACACCATGTTCTAAACACTGTTGACATTCAAGTCCTGCAGTAGGTAACTAATGGAATCCAAACATTTACAGCTATTTATTTCCTTCAGTGTGTATGTTCTTTCTCTGGATAGGCCTATTTTCTCTCTTAGTCAAACTGCTTAGTCAGTTAAATGTCATAATATATATTTAATTTTTTCAGATAAAGAATATAATGTCTCAGCTTGGAAGCCTGTTTACCCATATCATCTCCAAATCTCCTGAAAGTGTCCAGGACCAGAGCCCACACCGGACACCTAAACTACCTGACTTTATTCAACATGTCAGGTAAGTCCTTTGGACATTATAACTGCATTAGTAAATACATATTTGTATATGAAGAATGTATCATTTGAAAGGGATGTTTGAAGTTTTGATGAAACCACAGGGAGTTCCATTTACCTCTTCAGTGTTTTACCATATTGTTTTTTATTTTACAGCTGCCACCTTGCTTTTCTATTCTCATTAAACCTGATAATCCTGCTGTCGTACACTACCTGACCAGTATTTAACAGCCGACAGACACAGTTTAGCTGGTGAACATAGTTGAGAATTGAGTAGCTAAAGAGCCAGATATTGCAATCAAAATGTTTTATGTCTGTTGGAAATGCCAACAGTTTTGTAACACAAAAAATGTCATAAAATGTACATTTTATGATGATAGCTTGTTCCACTGCCCCTTAGTGGCCAATATAAAAAAATGATATGAAGCTTTAAAAAGTGTTACAGAAAATAACCCAATAACTTATTTCCTTTTTCTATGTATTCACTGTAGAAAACTCACTGGAATAAGAAAGGAAGATGTTTACTGCAATCTGCGTATCCCTGACAAGCTGCAGTCTGCCAAAGATGACATAAACATTGTTATCCTCACAGGTTGGTATCTAGAATAAAAAATGGCATTACATGATACATCTGTGCAACAAATCTATAATACTGATATTGTGGTATAGGAATCAAAATGAATGTTGTGAAGTGCAGTGAAGCGTTTTTTCACAGCAAACATTATATCAAAGTAAAAAAAAAAGCTACTTGTACCATTATTGATGGCTCTGCTATATTCAATGCCCCTGTAAGCCATGACAGTGTACCAACAAGCGACTTACAATGCTTGAACTAAAGTAGCTAAATGGAATTCAGACGTCCTTAATTGTATTATTTTCTTTTCACAGATTAGTTGGAAAGTTTGACAAATGTGATCGCAACATTATCTATTTCCGAGGTTAAGCTGTAAAAGGTCACTTTATTTAAGACGGTTCATATTGTTCTGTGCTAACTCCACTCTAGCCATTCATACATCTAGCAATATCACAATACATATCACTGTGGTTATATAAGATGATATGTGATGTAAGATTTAATCAATTTTGCCTTGAGGCCTTAAGAAAAGTATTAGCTACATTATCTGGTTTTATACTATTACGCTGAGTCTTTAAATCTTCGCTTGTCTTCTTTTCATTAAGGCCAGGGGATCTTCTGCATAGATGTGAAACCCTGGAGAGGCACAGTGTCCGCTCACAACCAGAACTGGCATTTGCAAGTGAAGGAAGAGGACCAAAACATAACCAATACCTGCATTGAGCAGATTGAGGATCCCCTCAAAGCTATCAAGGTAAAACAAAATTCAGCTGTAACGTTGAAATGCCATCGTGAAAACCTAAATGTCAAACTGTCTGGCACACTTGTGTCCAAGGTCCAACCAATTGTCCGGGACATTGTTTTCATCCGAACTCCAGCCTGGTGAAGAGATTCTGAGTCACCACAACAATTTATATGGAAATTTCAAACACTACAGCGAGGCTTCCTAAACTTCCCAAGTGGTTGCTCTTCATTTGAAAGGCTATAATTATGCTGAAAGGGGGGTGGATGTGGGGGGGTGAAAGCAGGCAGGTGCCTAAACACAGCTGTCACCTTATGTGCTTGGGTCTGTTAGGAGTCATTCATTTCCATCTCTATAGATGCTCAATTTAGACTGGGAGCTTGACAGAAGAGTCTGATGGCAAACACACACTGCATTATTTAAAGAGTTCTGCTTGAATTGGACATATTAACTTCAATAATCAACACAAAGCAGATACAGCTCCAACGTATGTGCTAATTAAAAGTTGTATAATTTAGTGGGTCTCTTTAGACACTTAGGATTAGACATCTGCATTTGTGTGTCTCTAGGTAATTATATATTTGTTAAGCACAGAGGCAACCTGTATAAACAATATGGCAAATGTGTCTTTTCTGGGTGAATATAGTCCTGGAGTTATATAATTAGCCAATTAAACTATCAGCAGAACATTTATGAATAACAGCTGCATAACTTGCATTCCTAAACTCTTCCTCTGTAGACCAAGACGGCTAACTTCTGTGGCCATTTGAAGCGAAGTGGAGTGTCAGTGCACCAAAGCCTCTTCTTCCCCAGGGTTATCTTCCTCTCCCCAGACTGCGAGCTGGACGAGGAGCTGAGGAAGAAGAGGGAGCTGGTCCTCCAAAGCCAAATAGACAACTTCCTCAGATCTTTCAGGGCGGGCTACATGGCCTGGATGTCCGACTCTCTGACTCCATCCTGGCTCTCTGGTGAGTGGTTTGCTAAAAGATAAACATGAATACTTAAAGGGATTTAATATATGTTCTAATACTGAAGTAATCTGCTAGTGGATGCTTGTTTTTAAATCAGATGGTTTTAAACTTAGACAGAATGAAAAGGACTGCTGTGTAGGTATAAAGAAAAGTTGTTGAATTTGCATGTTTTCAATACTAATCCACTTTGTATAAGCATATTTTTTATTGTAGAGCAGTGGCCCACCTAATCTTGTCTCGAAAATAAAACGATATATAGTCTTTGAAACAAGGTGCTGACCATTAATCTAATTGTTCCCTGGTTTACATTTTCAGGTAGCATTTGTTGCATGTCATCCCATTCATCTCTAATCATTTCATATCATTTATTTTCTCTTGACCCTTTGAGAAAAGACAACAAAATTCCCCCAAAATACGAAAATGATCTTGCCGACATAAAACATTTGTTTCATTGATAAAAAACACTTTGAGTACTCAATAACCCGACTTTGTGATATTGGATTTTTTTTAACATTATAATGAATTTCACCACAGAATAGGATTACATAATCCCGTTTCTGACAGGAATGCTAGGTCAACTTCTGTTATGTTGTGTGTTGTCCTGCAGGTCATCTGTCGTACAGGCAGATGGAGTCGGTGCGGGAGGTCCTGAGGAGGGTGGGGACGTGGGATCTGTTGCGCCTGCACTGTGGCGAGCAGCTGAAAGGAGACTTCCAGGGCTGCCAGTACATCGCTCTCAACCGGCAGGAGACAGACACGCTGGAGTTTTCCAGACTCAAGACCCTGTCGGCTGATTCGCTGTGGGCCCTGCTGGGACACGCTCCACAGGTCAGTCCACTCTGAAGGGCTATCAGGACCAGAAGGGCCGTCTGTAAATGAGAGATTAGTGCTGCATTTACGGCTTTAAGTAATAATATGAACCAAAGGTCCAGCAGGTGGCAGTATTACTTTATGACTGTCTCAGCTTTCAGGAATCCCCCTCTTGTTGAGACCTATGGTTGAGACTGGAGAATCACAGGGTTGAGTATTGCAAAAGATTGCAGAACATTACAGTCATTCAAATGTTATGGGGAAAAAAAAATTAAAGCTATTTTCAAGATATTACTGTGTATATAAATAAAATGAAATGATCACAATACAATTTAGGTCATGAGACATTTCATAGAATCTACGGTATTACAGTATCAAATTATGTTATGAATGTTAAGACCAAATAATTGTAGGTTATATTTATTAAGAAGTCAAGCAATTAGACTGATTTTATTTTCATAATAAAAAGCAGGATGTGCCTTTTTTTAATGTTTTAAAAACATGTTTTGCTCTAGTGCTTAAGCTCTGTCAGTTAATTTGAAATTAACGCTCCGGTGTTAATTACTACCCTAACTCTTCAGTTTGTTATTGAGAGAAGTCACTCTCTCTGCCTGCGAGGTCCTCATTAGCTCATTGATTGAATCAAGTCATTGAATGTGAATAAGCATCATTTGAGCTCTCCATATTATCAGGTCGGTTGATAATTATTGTTTATGTTTTTGTGAGGTAATGATTCGGCTAATTAGTTGCACGGTGTCTCATCTGGTAGCATAAAAGGAAATCTTAACTGACTACAGTATGTCACAGTGGTTGAATCACAGTGCTTATAATATTCACACAAAATTATAACTGCTTTTGGTGATATTTTAAATCCTTCACAAACATTATTTTTTGTTGCTGGTGCAACAGTGAATCAGTACTGCTTGTTAGGGAAATGAGTTGTTGAATGAAGTAATTGTTAGACAGTCAAAGGTCAGAGCTCTTGGGTCCAGTGGGTACGACCCCCGGTCAGCATCCATTACAGATTGCGTACCCACCCATCAGGACCCCAACAGTCTGGGCTTTCCTTACAGACTCCACTCAGGCTTTAGTTTACCCCCACCCCCCCACCCCAAATATCCAGACTGTATGTACTCTCCCCTCCTGCCTCCAGCTGCTGTGTATTTGATACATGACCCAGCGATCATTAGACAGTCTCCAGCGGGCCCTTTTGTAGCCCAAGGGGACACACACGGCGACAACAAAATATATTATTTTCAAAGAAGTATTTGTAAATGGAGTGTGAGGCAAAACCCCCTCCCCATATTTTACTAAGAAATGTGACTTGGATATGGTAAATAAGGTCTCTGTTTAGCATGCTTAATATGTGGTAATACATTAGACAGGGGGTAATACTTTATGTGTTTCCCATTATCCATTGACTCCAAGCATTTAGGTGTAATAACCGCCAAAAAACATGGACTTTGCCATTGCATTTGTACTAAAAAATTAAGGAAAATATGTACTCCTTTGATCTTGAATGTCACCCACTCCATCTTAAGAAAAAAAAAAGGTCTTAGCTCGTGTGTAGCAGCTGCGAGGGGAAGCTTGGGGGGGAGGCAAAGAAACCCGATAGCTCCCCCAGGCGTATTTTCAGTGCCCCGAAATAATGCATGCTTTTGATTTGTTACTTGTAAACACACCGGATAGCAGATCTGCGATATGACCCACAGTTTCACTCAGGCGTCTGTTTGGTTGAAAGAGGGTGGCAGCAGATGCATCCACAAAGCCACCGTGGAGGCACAAGGTGTGTTTTCTGTTCCTCGGTCAATTACTCTGCGGAGAATGGGATGTCTACATGTCCCCAAAGTGGAGAATGATTGAGTAGAGTGGCTGTAATTTATTAATTATGGTCTATATTCTTAGTCCGCGGTTCTGGCTTCATTCAATTTGTATGGATTGAGGAGTAATTACATTTGGTTTGTGTGTGTGTGTGTGTCTGAGTGTGTTAGGGAGAGAGAGAAAGAGCTAAAGATCTTTATGTCATAATTTAAAGTGCGGGTTACTAACGTTGTTCATCTTCATGTCGTCTCCCATTCTGAAATTTGAATGTTTCATGAGGTCTCTTTCTACCAGTTTATATAATCCACTTTATTCAGGAGTAGAAGTAGAGACACTGTGTTTTTAAAAAAAAGTCTCGTCGCTCACGTTGAGCCTATAGAGTGTCTACTAATTGCATAGCTGTGAGACAACAATTGAGTTCCTACGAGCGTAACATGACTACTCCACCCTGTGGATGCACCCCCAACATCCCGGCTAACAAATAACAAGACCCCGGTTACCGTAGCTACTGCTTGTCTCTCTCACTGGCTGCAGATTCCACACGGAGGTATAGCTTGTTAATTTAACTCTGCTTTAACTTTAACATTCCTCTCTGTTGGGCCATCTCCCAGGCTGCACGCGTACAACGCCTGTAATGGACAGTGATGTGCGCTCGGTGCTTAGCACAGAGAAGGGAGACAGGGGAGACATCAACCTGCGCTCGGTGCTTAGCACAGAGAAGGCAGAGAGGGGAGACATCAACCGCTTTGTGGTGATAATGAATGGAGGCACACAAAAGGCCAGGAGCTGGCCATTTACAAAGCCTGCGCATTCTGCTGTCTAAATGGATGATATTGGTAGACACTGCAGCTTTTCAGTTTTTTTATGTAGAGAAAAAACGTATTTTGGCATTGAAATAAAAATATATGCAGTAGCCCTTACTATTGATTATAATGAATTTATACTAGTTATTCACATATTTGGCTTTTGTATGCGCCTTCATGTAATTTCCTAAGCAAACAAACCGATATAAACATGGCTGAAAGCTGTGTTCTTGAAAGGATGCTTTTTGGCCACAGAAACAACAGTCATTTTAGTTTAACAGACGTGAACCAAGAAAAAGATACTTAAAGTTGTTTCACCACATTTGATAGTTTAAGATTAACGATTACCCAATTGAAACTTGATGGAAGGATGATTTATGTACCAAAGATGAGATTCTGGAGAACATCCCAGAAAGAAATAACTATTAGTTTCAACAAAAAAAAAAATTGTGTGGAAATCACCAGGATGTTCAGATTTCTGTAATTGCTGTCGCTCTCGAAAAGAAAACTGGAATTGGAAATAATTTTCAGCAGAGTGTGTGTAGGAAGCTACAGAGGAAAGCTAACCATGCAATTACACATGAGAAGGGTGCTGCAGAATCACAAGTGTCGGTAATGAACTAGTGAAGACACCCGCACTTACACAGTGGAAGGCAATGATATAAGCTGCCTTGTAATAGCGTGTGATTAAACTTGGTAACATTTATTTTTTCACTCGAGCACTATGCCACAGTGAAGAGTCCTGTGGAGAGATTGTGCATCTGTCAATTTGAAGATGACTCAATGCATTTCCTCCAAATTCATAACCCAGCATGTAAAACCAGTCATTTTTAAAGGGCTCTTCATGTGCTCTTTTGTTAATTTAGTTAAACATCAACCAGTAGAGTTCATGTTTTACACATTCCTACTTAACACAGGTGGAGATAGAGTTTCAGTAAATTTGAATACATGTTTAAAATAAAACTCCATACCATTAATATTCATTACAAAATAATTCCTTTGAATGTGGAATGAGCTACAGTTGTGCAAGACACACAGTAGGTAATACTTTATGTAATACCCACAAATGTTGTATGATTATACGGTTACATTGTATACGACATGCATTATAATTTACTATGCAAAAAAACAAAAGAAAGACCGTACTCATATCATATTTATGAATGTTTTTTTTTACAATAATTAACTGTTTATAAATATCTAAAATATCTCATCCTTTTTCAAGAAAAAATATATATTCTCTTACAGCACCATCAAACATGAAGATTAGATGCCTTTCTTTGTCATATACTGAATACCTTTGAGTTTTAAACAGTGATTTAGATGAAACAACCAGTATGAATATTTCTTTGTGCTTTTGGAAATTGAAATCAGCATGTTTCCCTATTTCCTGACATTTTATTGACACAATTATTAATATGCAAATGGTGTGCAGATTAAGCGGTGATTAAAATAACTGTTTCTTACAATAGTCTTCAGTGAAGTTCAATAGTCGATAATATTTAATTACTGACCTTTGCTATTGTACATTTAATAAGACCATATAGGCTTCATACCATATTTTAATGAGTCTCTGACATCATCCAATTAAGCATAAAATGCTAAATGTATTATCTAAGAGAAACTTTCCTTTGGTCACCGGCCAAGATGTTAATTTGAACTCGGGAAGCTCAGCTATTTGTTTGGGGGATTCAGGATATTACAGTGATCCCCACAGTATAGCTTGTAAGATATGATCAATAGAGATTCATGAATAATGAAGAGGCCGAGTGGAGCAGAGACACTTAATTACAGTTTCAAAAGCCATTCTCGTTAATTGAGGAGAATAAAGGTGGTGAAGTGGACTGAACGGCGACATTAGAATTTTTTATCTGTGGCTTTCTTTTTTATTACAAAAAAAGACCCAGCTAAAAACACCAGCTGGTAATTAGCAAGTTCGTACTGTTTATCCCAAATTGATGCACTTCTATGTTTGACATTTAATATCGCAGTTTGTTTTGTGTGCTTGCTCCATTTCCTGTGACCACCTGTGAGCAGACTATCGTTCTTTTAATGTGAAGGCTAATCTGCTGCATATCCAGACAGTGTGTGGCCGCTGTGTGCAGCAGATACAGTATTAAATTGACAGCCCTGCCATCTGTTACAGTTATGTGAAATTATGGATAAACTAGTTAACAGACACTTTGGCCCATTGTCTGTTGTTTTGATAATCACCCTTAATAACGGACGGCATCAATATGGTCTTTAAACCTGATTTGGGAGTTAATGGAGTCAGATGGGGGCAGTCAGTGTATGCTCTGGGGCTAATGCTGTTAGAGATGTTCGTAAAGAGCAAATTAAATCAGTCATAGATTGTGCCCTCTCAAGTCAGCCAGACAACCAGACCCATTGAGGAGAAAAAGGAGGGGATTCATATTTTAACCTCTCACAGAAAATGCACTTATGTGGATGGAAAATAAAGTCGGAGCTGGGTGAATGAGCTGGATGTAAATGGTTATTGCAGAGAGTCTTAATGGCTTCCTGTTAGCTGCGGCAAATGGGTTGGAAGCAGAGACGGGGCTGTTTACAACTCAACCAGCCACGTTCTGTGTTCATGGCTTTAGACAAATGTAGTTACTAACATGGACAGTTATTTCATGTCACCAGACCAAAGTTTAGGCATCTTAATGGATGGTCCACAGTAGGTCAGTCATTCTTCAAACACAGTAATTGAGCTGATAGCATTCTGGGATTCTTTTTTTCTGATATGCTAAATTAATAAATAGATTAGTCGGTCATACCAAAACAAATATTCTTGTCTTAAATCATTGTAAAATGTTGCTGTTTGACGATTCACTAAACAATTACTCAGTTAAATGAACCAATAATCTACAGATGTATTGATAGGCAAACCCTCTTCTTATTTCAGCAGTTTAGGATGCAATGATCCATTCTTTGCAATGATTTAAATCTTTTATAAATCGTATTGAAATTTAAAATTTAAAAATCTTCAATTGCTTTGCCAACTAGAATCTAACTTTAAAATTCCTGATTATCCAGTGTGTCCTCTCTCTGCAGGTTGTTAATGTATTCACCCAGTGGGCCAAACCGCACACCTAATTGCCTTGTTAAATCCATCCCAAAGGACAGCACACTACTATTGGTCTGATTCCATCACATTTGGCCCGTCGACAAACGTGTTTTGCCGCACCAGAGGTGTGTAACTCGCTGTTCCTCTCTACTGTGTCTGGTGAGACACGGTGTGGAACAAAGAGCCCGTCGCCTGAAGTCGGTGTGGCGTTACGCTCACTCAGAGTTCACCTGAAACACGGCACCCATGGCTCCAGGTAACGGCCCTCGCTGACTGATACCCCACTGGGATTTCTTTGACTTTATCAGGGGGAAGAATCTGAACTTTGTGAATGGCAATACACACAGGTGGTGACACGTCTCCACCCAATTACACAGATCTTCACATTATTCACGTTCGTCAGACCTGTCACGTCTTTGATCGCAAATAACCAGATTTATACTTAAACAGTAACATCTATGGTCCAAATGCAAAGTCCATGAGACAAGTTTAGTAGATTATAGAAAGGATGTCTGAGACCAAATATGAGAATCAGTGCCATAAGCATCCCTGCAGGTAGGAGCTAAGGAGATCACTATCAGCTGTTTGTGAGGAGATGTTAGAATGAGCTGTCGTCTTGAGTTGAGAGGGTAAAAGGTGAACAGCGCACCAAAGGCAGGATTTATGACTATTAGCAGACGGTAAATAAGAAGACAGAGTTTGTCCCGTTGAAATGTGAGTAGTGATGTCATTCACACGACCCCCCCGACACTGAAAGTGAGAGGCGGATCAGGGGTAGACACGTTAGGTGAGCTCTTAGCCCTTTGTGTGACACCTAACCTTAGCCCCAAGGGTCCTGTGCTCCCCATTAAGTGTTACACACACACACTCACACATTCTGCGCTTAACATTGTTTTGTTTCTTGTACAATTGTGTAACATTCACAGTGAAAAGTGAGTTGGTTTCTATTGATCTATTTGCGGTTAATATTTAGGATGCAAGTTGTTGTTTTAATGTCAGCAGCTACTTCACGCTTTGTTCTTCTGCTGTAATTGAGAAACAGTATCTTCTTTTCCCTCAGACACTTGCCTCAAGTGGCTGAGAGGTGACGTGCAGTGACAGTTCCTGTTCCTGACACACCTTCACCTGGCAGGCAGCTTGTCTAGACCACACAGAACTCCCCTCTTTGATTTCATGCCAAAGACGGTTGCATACTTCCTTTCTTTATTTGACAAAACACAGTCAATGTAGCAGTAAATCAAACCTGGTTTGATTTCAAATAATGCAGTATTTTCTCTGGAGCTTTTCTGCTTGGTAACAGTTGTGCATTCAAGCCTGTTTGTCTCTGAAGGTTTAATGTTAAGGGCTGTCCAAAACTAAATAAATTCTTAGTTGAAAAATACTCATAAAATGTTGTCGACTGATCGATACGTTTATTTAAACAACAAATCTGGAGAAACGTGCATCAAAAAATATAAAGAAATTACTAATTGATTTAAAAAAATCTTAGTCACCTAATACCTAATCAACCCTTTATTCAACTCTAAGTTTCATTGGATCATTCCCAATATTATTATTTTTTTGATTCCATACAATTGACCTGTTCCTGTTCTTATTGTGGACTGTTGTGAATATACGTGTTATTTTATTATATTCTACTATACTATTTTCACTATAATCTAAAAATAATGCAATTTCAACCAAATACGATTTAATTTGCTCATAACAACTAGAAGTAATCACCAAAGATTTGCCTTTTGTATGATGTTACAGAAAAACAATACATGCAAAGGGCTTTAAATAACATTTAGCAAAATATATCCTTAAAATCATAATTTTCTCAGAAAGGATTTAGGTATTCTCAAAAGACACCATTAAGGATAAAGGATTCCAAAGGAAGGTGCAGCCGTAATGGAAGTAAATGTTTTATGGAAGCTTTCCCACATGGCAGTATGTGTTTCAGAGTCTCTCCTGCTGCTCTACAATATTTTTTTTTTTTTGCACGTGTTTGAATATAATGATGATTATGTCTGCTCCACATAGAGGGCAACTTTGGTTCTGTCAAATTAGTTAATTACTACTACTTTGGGCTATGATTTGTTAGAATAATCCCTCTCTGATGTCTTTGTGTTGGCTTGTACGCCTCCCTGCCACCAGCTGTCATGAAGCTATTTTTTCATGCATCCCAAATTAATAGACACTCATTCTGAAGTGTCTGATGCTATTGTAATACAAGCCATGTGGCATTCGGCCAAGGCTGCAATATAAGACACAATTGTTCCTCCTGTTTTAATGCACAGTAATAAGTAAGTAAATGCTGGAAAGATGTGTGTCTGAAATCGCGGTGGCCTTTGTTGCAGATAATTAGGTTAGCAGCGAGAGTGTGCAGGTGTTGAGAGTGTGCTCGTGTTGTGTTTTCGACTTGCTCATATTCGTAGGCTGTCAGGGGTGTCGCACTTCCCATCAGCCCCAAATACACCAACCTCTTCACTATTAAAATGATCACTTTCAATAGCAGACAAAGGAAAGAGGGAACATATCTAGTGCAGGGTATTCTCCCCACCTCTAATGCTTATCTGCCTTTTGATGTCGGCGTAATAAAAGGCCTATTGGGCTTCCACAATGACCTGCAAAATGGACAAGGGCCGATACACTGGGCTCCGACTGTCGCTACCATTAACTAAAAGGCCCAGACATTATGGAGAGCCGGGGATGAAAGAACATGGAAAAAAATCATAATTGAAAAATTGCCTAATGCTAAAGTGAAAGAAAATGGAACTGTGAAAAGGCACTGTAATACTCTGTTATCCCCTGTAAATGCAGCCAAACAAGAGATGCGGCGAGGCATTCTTTTTGAAATGGATGTGGTTCAATTACCTGCATGTCTAAATCTAGTTAAGGCTTCCATTGTGAGGCTCAAACATAACAGGCAGTTTTGATGTAGTGTTAAAGCGTATTATGCCCTACAACCTACATAAAATCAAGAGAGCTATGACTCCATTCAAGATACAGAGGGGAATTAAAAGAGCTCACAGTGAGAAGAAGGTTCATTTAATATGTATTCTGTTACACGCTACCGTTTGCATTACTGTTCCAAAAGAGCTACTAGATGTTTTAGTTGTGAAAAATATTTCTGTATTTTTTTTTAATCCCATTTCTGTGGATGACTAATTGGTTCCTGGATCACCTTGCATTTATTTTCTTCGTATAAAAGAGGTGTGATGTGTTCTAGCTTTAGCCCGTGATACATTTGACCAGTAGTAGACCTTCTACACTATCAAACTAGAATGGACCCTAAAAAAGCACGGTGTATCTGATAGAAGATAATTGATTAAATACGTTAATAGACAAAAGATTAATCAGCAAAAGTCAAGTGTAGTAAAAAATGCTGGTTAAATATCTTTGGTCTTTTGATTGTCGGTAGGATGCAACAAGCCTTTTTTTGAAATTGTGACGGGAATTTTTCCGATAAAGAATAAACTAAACATGCTGTGAAAATAATGGACAAGTGAACCAGTAATGAGAACAATGTTAATTGCAGCCGTCAAACATACATTTGGTCATTTGCAGGACGATGTTAGTAAGAGTCTGTTTTAAATATGGTTGAAAATTGGATCCTTTTAGAGATGTCCAGTTATTTCTAGACCATTTTATGGACTACATTTCAATGAAAGTTACCTGCTACACATTATTTAAAAAAAAAAGTTGTTTGAATTGTTGAATTACCATACTGTCTTTTACTTGTCAACCAAAATAAAGCCAGTTTTGTTTTGGCAGCTTTGTCCTAATTAGCTGCAAAAATCTTTATATATACAGTCTATGGTGAAAATTCAAGTTTGACAGATTTTTTACCCTTTAAAAAAACCCAGTCCCTTCCAAGAGGGATCAGTAGGTTTATTCTGGTCCTTCAGTCTTCAAGGCCCAGACTAAGCAACAGCATGTCCATGAAGAGGTCAAATGTGAAGCTCATGAGTGTCTGCTTAGCTCTGGGCCAAGTCAGAGGTCTCAGTCAGGGTTATGACCCGAGCGTGAGCCCCTGATATCCCAGAGCAGCGTATTGTTTATTAGCCTCTTCTGTTCTGACTCTCACTTATAACCTTTATCATATTTATATTTCCTTTTCCTGTCTTTCTCTGCAGGTGACAGTTAAAATGTACAAGCGTGGACCTCAGGGCTGGCTGGGCAAATCCCTGATCGCCACCACCACCATCCCCCCCAACACCTGTGTGATCTTCAGGATCAGCGGGGAGGAAACAGATGCCAAAATCTCAGCAAACACCATTCACAGCATCACACTCAGCCACTGACCGTGTGTATTGGCAAAACAGAGGATAGCATCACTGCATAGCGCTGTGGGAAGAGGAAGCTCTCTTTAATATAAAAAAAAAAAAAAAAAACGTTGCTCAAACCTTCTCATATTTTTACGAGTGCCTTTTACTATACAGTGTTTGTACTTTGTGATATAATGTCTTAAAAACAATTTCTGAATGTCTTTCCATGATTTTGCGATTGTCAGTGGCAACGATATGTTAATGCAGATGGTTTCATATCATTACCCTGATTAACTTTCCCTTGTTTTGGATTTCTAGGGCTGGCCCACACTCTACACTAGCCATTCATTAATCATTACGCTAGCTGATTGTCACGTCAGTTCAGGATTGAAGTGTTTAATGTGTTAATTGTGGCGGCCACAAAGCGGTGGCCCCTGCCCCGATGAGGGCCGAGCATCCTACTGCCTCTGTGGGATTAATGGGCAGTGATTTACGGTCTGTTTAGACGGTGTAACTGTAAGGTGCTTTATTAATATGCTCCAGCGCACGGAAGAGATGATAACATATTCAAGAGCGCACAGGCGCGGCCACTAGCTACAATTCATAACTGAGTCACTTTCCATCAGTTACCAGGCTTGCACAGCTGCGCTAACAGCTAGCAATTGTATTTCATGTGCCTGGTAGTGGGCAAAATGAAGTTATTTCCATCAAGATACCAGTGCCTTTAGCTAATGCAATAGAAGCAGCTCTCTGAGTTGATGGTATCTCTTTGCATGGCATCTCTCTACCTGAAACATCATTACACTGTACTCAAGCTCCTCACTTTTTCAAACGTCTGTTTACCATTTTACCTGAGGGTAAGATTTGGAAAACAGCACTGTATTCTTTACATTTGTACTTGCACATTTGTAAGACTGCAGTTCTTTTTCAAATCTTCTTTAACATTGCTTGAATTCAAAAGGTTTTGGACAAATGTGTTGTCATTTTTAAGCTTACCTAGTAAAGAGTTTCCTCAGGAACGGTTTTGTACACAGAACTTATAACAATATGGGAAGAAAATGATTTAAAGAGATATGTAATCCTGAGTGCTAGGTGCATGCAGGTAAATATGAATGTGTTTGCTCTTTTTTTTACTTTAAGCACTTTCAGTATCAAGCCAACTCGATTGTAACCCAACCCTTCAGTTGATTGATTTAGGCATGGTTGTTTTTTAGCTGTTTGTGTTTATAATTTTCATGGTATTCTCAAATGTGTTTTTACATGTATTTGTACTATCTGGTGTCATAATAAAAATATGTAATGCTTTAATTCTTATTATTCAAAGCCACTTGTTGTCACTACTAGGCCACAAGCTTTCTTCAAAGCTCTGTGCACGTTGAAAGCATGCAGCGCGTCTCCAGCGCGGTGACGGCTGGATATTAGGACTGGATGACTGGCCATGGGGACAAAGCGAGCTCTGTCGGGCAGCGCGGTGGCGAGAGGGAGGGGAGGCTGAGCGGAAATGCACATGGCGATCAGACCAGAACATAGTGTGACAAGGTAACAAGGTAAACTGATCCCAGGCTGCAATTCCTCTGCAAACTGAATCAATGAGGGTTCTGTTAAAGAGGAAATCCTCCCGGATATCAAGTTTATGTGAATCTATAGCACAATGGATTTAGCAGTAAACATGTTTTCCTTCGCAGTAAACATGTGCGTCATGTAACCTACAGATAGCTTTTCTGTACATCTGTAGGATGAATCCAGGAAGTGATGAACTACAATTCCCTGCAGTAAGGCCAGCTGTCTAACTTTGACCTCTGGCCATTGGGCAAGGTCCCCAGGGTTGCCAGGTCAGGTGACTGCTTTGACCTTTCCTTTGTACAGGACATGGAACTGTAGAGCAGCGGACATGAAGGACCGACCCCTCTCGAATGACATGCGAAGAAACGAGTCACACTCTCATCCATTTAAGGTCCGAAACCTTGCACCACAGTGCTGTATACATACAGGTCAGTACTCAAGGACAAAAAAAGTTTGACCGAACCCCCATCTTCTGTTTTCTGCTTCAGTTTGACTACCTCTAAGGTTCTGATCAGACGGGGGTCAATACAGTCTTTTTAACTCTGTTTTCCGAGATGCAGGCCTGTTTCCTCTGTGAAGGGCTCTAGAGATGAGATTGTGTTGTACTGAGAGTCTAACCCCACGGGAAAAGCTGTGTTTACTGTAAGTGGGAAAACGTTTTGTGGTGACACAGATTGTGCCCTTACACAAACACAATGTGAACAGCAACTGTCTGCATTAATATTCAGCAGTTAACAATCACTCTGAAGCTATCACGGCTGCTATCTTGACTTTACATTTTTCAGATAAAAAATCTTTGTATTGAGTTTTGAACATGCATAATCAGTGTTTGTCATTTAGAAATGGAAAGCAAAATGTATGCATACAATTGAGACAGTGGTTTGTACTGATTGAAATGACAAGAAACACAAACAAACAATAACGACTAAAATAATCCCCTACATTCACTGCCTGTGAGCCTTGTACACACGATTATTTAGCAGGAACATTGTTAAATGAATATACTGTATATGCATGTAATACATATGCATATACATACATGCAAGAAATACATATACTCATACACATCTGTATACATACACACATACAAACATATGCTGCAGATAAGCTATACCAATAACAGATCGTTTTACAGAGTGGAATGCATTTAAAAAAGGTTCCCAGGCTTCCTGGCATGTCCTGTTTGAGTATGACTTTACATTTTTGACACCATTATTGAAGCTTAAAGTGTCAGTTCACCCAAATTAAAGTAGGAATGTGCTACAGCGTTGGTTTGTACCTGCTCACGATAAAATTGTTAAGATGCTGATGGTAGTCAGGTATAATGCCTACTGTTCTCGCGGTTTAGTACATTAGCATGCCAACATTTGCTATTTAGTTCTAACAAAAAGACCAGCTGAGGCTGGTGGTAATGTCATTAACAAAACAAAAATAAAATGTATTTATAATGGCAAAAGTCAGGGTATCAGTATAATCATAATGATGAGGCACCATGAATGTCTGTGACACATTTTATGGCAATATGTTTACAAGTTGTTGAGATATTTCTTGTCTTGAGCAAAGTGATGGACAAACCGACATTCCTATCTATAACTGAACAGCTATGATCTCTCCAGAAGGTTACTCTGGATAATCTAAAGACCCTGCTGTCAACAGTTTTCACTCAAACTACTTACTCCCCAATAACAACTGTTGACAACGTTAAGACCATTCACCAACGCTCCTTAACCTGAAGACCCCGTGTCTCTTTTTTTACCCCTTTCTTGCAAAAGCAGTTAAACCCATTCAAGATTCTAAAGGGGTTTCAGATAAAACAAACTAAAAAGGGAAAGTGAAAATGTGATGCCCCCAACTTATATAGATATGGAAACTATGATAAGGGGTTAACATGAATCGTATCAAGGGGCAGAAGCAAAACATGCACATACATAATTACAGGAACTGGGAAAAGGTTAATGAAGTGACTGAAATAAAAACTCCTTTCTTAGCACCAGCATTCATAAAAAGCTGATGTATCCAAAGGTTAAGAGTACTTGTGAAAAAATGCATCGTGACTTTTTTTTTTTACGCAAAAGGATAGAGTGTTATTATGTTGAAACTACATTTTGCAGGCTTTTATAAAACTACTATGTGATAATGAAAGGAGGCAGGCTGTCTGTCTAATGCCCAACACCCTTTATTCTGTGACCACTACTTTACTGAACAGCAACAAAGCTTTCAGTGTGAAAGCAGCAGAATACACAAGAGATTAAATGTGTTCCACCTCTTGCAGATGTTCAGAATTAAGTAGGGTACTCAAAAGTAACATCAAGACTCCATTAAATTCTGACTTATTAATACACTTTAGTGTCCAACAACAAAAAAAGAAAGACTATTTCATTGTGTGTTCACAAAGGAATAAATAAAATGGGCACATGGTTAGCAACAGGCAGGGGGCTGCAGAAATTAGCCCATCTTTAAACAACCCCTCAAAAAGCACCACACTTGTAAAAAGCTACAGGACAACAAAAGACATACAGGAGTGAATGAAATGAAGCTTCCTTGCCAATTACTGCGGCGAACGTGGCCGCACTGGGGCTTTTTGTGCTTCACACAGGCAGTCTTTTCTCCCCTTGTCCCCGGCTATAAAGAGGGATACATTAGCCAGGCGGGGATGCAGGGCTGGATGGATGGAGTGGAGAGGAGCAGAGCGGTGCGTTCGCTGTCATACAGCTCACTTCACACCCGGTGTTACAGACCTCTCTTATGACTTCACTCACAGTGCTCACACAAAATGTGATTCTGAACAATGTCATTTTCTACCTGCTTTCTAAGACTTTGCAAAAGTAATCCAGACGTGGAGAATATCTGCTCACTTTTATCTGATATGTTGCAGTGATGATGAATCGTTTGTGTGGTTTAATTTATCATCGTATTTAAATCTATTATGTTTTGCTGTTTACTAATTGGTCAAATAAACCTAGGGCTGATGTCAGGTATGTTTAAAAAATACATTTTCTTTTCATTTTCTGTCTCATTTTGAAATGCAATATTTTCCAGATGCACCATGTCAGTAGGAATGGTGTTTGGTGATTTTCCATCTCGAAGTCTACATTAAAACCTCCTCAAATGTAATTGAAAAGTGACATTTGTCCAGTGAGTGTTTCATCTTGTAATAAGTACCTTCTTCGATTTAAAACATGACCATTTAAATGCTGTCTTTGACGTTCAAAGTCTGACTGCAACACTTGTTTTTTGTATTTTCAAATGTTTGTTTCTCTTTTTCACGTAAATGCCTCTGGACCACCTCACTAAATGCTCAGCTCTTTATTTTTATGGCAATCCCATACTATGCAGGGTCATAGTGTGTAAATGTGCTGCCTGTGACAACTATCAGCAAGGTTAATGCTGCGGATAACAACATCCATCATTAGCGCTGTCCTCTGACCTGCTCCATATAATGTTGTCAAATGTGTCAGGCGCCAGATTATTGGGAGGTATGATGATCAATAGATAAATAACAGGGAGTGCGTGGAGCGGCTGCAGAATAAACCTCCATCCAGCATTCTGCCGCCTGTCACAAATCTGAAATACAAATGGGCTAGCCCGAGGCAAGAGCCATCAATAATAATATAATGTGTGGACGATGATGAATTAGAGCCAGACTCCTCAATGCATCGCCGTTCTACGCACAGAAAAACCTCACTGGCTGAATGCATTGATCTCCGTATGCACATTAGTTTACTTAATCTGCATTTGAGTCGATGGGACAACACAACGTTTCACTTCACTGAATTCAGAAAAGTTAATAATGTCCGATAATCAAAAGCTGTTTATGAAAGCACCTCTTTTTGTGCGCCATTGATTGGACTGTAATGCACTGATAACTCAGACAGTATGCACTTAGGAAATGACAAATGCATTTTGTATTCAATAACATAGATTTTCCCATGCTTAACCACAGGTTGTAGTTCAAACACACATGTCCACATCCATAAAAAAGTATTAACTAATATTGTCCCCTTTTTAATGTTCTCATTGAACTTCTGAGAAGTTGAAGGAGAATATAACACAGAAAGTGTGTCATTTCACATTGATGTTAACTGGATGTTTAATTTATACTGCTATAATAGTTTACTTAACATAATTGTATTAAATAAAATGTATTTTGCCCAAATTTTTTCTTACGTTTTTT